AGGAACCAGACAGAAATCTCTCATTTTGCTATTTGATAGAAATAACGATCAAGTATGCTGATTTGCTTGAAACAAAGTTAGAGAGAACAACATAAGGAATCAGCAACGTAAGAGTAATCTAACTTCAATAAAAAATTAAGCTGAATATTGGATATTGGTAAAGAAATAACAGGAAAGTAGATGATGATTCAATAACATTACGGACAAATCATCAGCAACGACTTTTGAAATTCCTGTCTTTTAAAGATAAATGAGGAGGAAACATTTACTCATGATTACGAAATAAATAAATAATTCATTTTAAGATAAATGACTAGTATATTTTACATATTTTAATAAGAAAATTCATGAAATGGCTGGCACGTCAAATGAAAGCGGCAATTCGTTTAAATATGCATTTGTTTCGCAACCGCAGTGATTACCATATATGATAATAATTAGAAAATAAAGTAACAACATAAATATTACTTTTTTTCTACCTAGTTGTTAAAAAGTAATAAGGTTTTAAAATGTTATTCATGGTGAAATGACTGTCCTTCATCATTTTCCTTTTTTCCATTCGTATGTTTTACTGATATTATAAGTGGGAAACCTTGTATTTCGAAATACTCTAACTTGAATTTCTAAAATGGGTTTCTTGAATAACCATACTTCTGATATTTGAAAAATCTGGTAGTTAAACAAGAAGTTGTATGATCACTAACAAGTTATTTTGATGTAAATAAGAAGATGTTCACTTTTAGTCGTATAGACTGGGTTTAAAAATGCTTACATATTGGTAGTTTATCGAAGCAACTTCGTTACTCAAGAATCTAGAAACTTTTGCCTATGTTTAACTTAAAATTATTTTCAGCTAAGGCAAGTAAGAAATTATATATTTAAAGGTGTTGTGAATTATGTTACGACCGAAAATAGTTTGCACGTTTGTAACGGAAATAAATGTGTATGAATGAATTTGTAATTCAAACTAATACTGGAATGGGCGCTAAAAATTAAAGTTAGGCTTTCCAGCCAACACTACGTTAAATAAGTTTCACTAGAATTAGCATCTCAAGGCTGAGAGTCGAATGTAGGCTGTATTTCTGAGGTTTAGTACGTCCAGTTTCAAACAAGCATTATGGGCTTTAGTTGACAATGTTATACTTTATTCTACATGGAAACACGCTCTCATATTCAGTACACATTCTGGAAAGCAGGAAGGAGTTAAATGGATGTTAAACGTTCATCTAAGCTATTTTCTTTCCAGGTACCTAGAAGGAGATAAGACGAGACAATTTAAAGAAAAATTGTATGGCTGTAAGATTTAGATTGTAAAGGTTGATTTACAGTTAGATTTAGAATTTAAATATCTTATCCATGCTTTTGAAGCCTTTTTATGCGATAGTTAAATTTTGGCGAGGAAAGATGTAGAGTATTCCTTAGTTTGAATAACTAATTATTCTGACTTTTATTATCTTTCCTGAACTCGTCGTTTCCTCTCGTATTTCCAGGATACAAATAAAGTGAAGAAGTATATTTAAACGAGCGAAAATAGAAAGTTAGACAGAGCCTGAATTACGTCAACTTAGCGAACGTTGTTTTATTTTGTCTCTTCCTCTTGCTAAACTTAGTCGCTGATATGCCTTCTCGTCGTTTATTAAAGTATATTGCCGTAGTAGGTTCCTAAGTCAGCCTGTTAGTTTTAAGTAGTTCCAACACTACTCTTTGTCATTTAAATTATTGTAAATTATTTTTTAACTACCACCACTTGTAGACGGTGTTACTGTTAGCACGAAGTACGGACATTTTTGTTAAACAGTTTTAATAAAATAAAAGGGCGATATAAACCTTTTCCCTGCGTTCTAGTTCTTGGCGTCTGTGCGAGAAATCGTATCTTTGCATGACAGCTAAAAGAATTCGATCCTACAACCCTAGAGCTCCCAAACATACGGAAACAAACTTGCAGCACAGCTTTATATATAAAACTCAATTAGCGGTTTACATTACATCAGGTAATTGAAAAAAAAAAAACGAAATTTTAGACATTGATGCACATGAGCTACTGAATATAGAACTAAGTAAATTTAAAAATTCACTAATTATGAAATTATCTGCATATAAAATGCTTTATAATTTAGACAGAAAGATAACTTAATCATTTTAAAAAACTGTTGATTTTTAAATTTTTACAAATCTTCCGTTTCTAATAAATAACCTTTTTAAAATAATTTTAAATTAGAATAATGGTCTGTAAAATATAAATGCGTCTTAAACTACAGATTGTATAGACAGGCATAGATATTCCTTTGAGAACTGAAATGACTATGAGTTTTCGGAAGATTTAGAAGCTCCTAATTAAATTAAGAAAAATTTTAAATTATCTTTTTAATGAATGAAATTATATGTTTTCTTAAAATTAATCAGTATAATATATAGTATTCATAAGTATATCCAGTATTCATTGCTCAGGAGTTACATTAAATTATTTTATTAGCATATATTTTATAAAACAGTGTAATAGTCAAAAGCATATTTACTCTAAATATGTAAGCCTTTATAGATTTTAAAGTAGCTTTACCGTGTAATTAATTTAGGAAAGAAAGGCGTAAGTCTATGAAGGTTTTTGAAATCCAAGCAATGTTGATATCGCAGTTTCTATTTTATTAATTTTGCTTTGTGTATACTTGGCATTTGTTTCAATCTCCACTGCATAGAAAAAGATCTCTTATTACATTTTTAGAATATGGGATTGCAAGCAAAAGAGGTATACAAGGTCATACTGAATTTGCCGAAAACCTATAATAGTTTAAAACGTTCCTTTAAAACAAAATAAAGATTTTGTATACTCTTACGATCTACTAAATACGTCACAGAACGCTTCAAACACAGAAATCCATAACGTCGCATCATCGTAAGACAGGGTATTTACAGATTAAATAAGCAAAACAAAACTGGTATATTGCAGCGATCCCTTCTTTTGAGACTCCTTACTAATAGCATTATCGACAATCAAAGTGTGCAAGAAGTTATGCAAACAATGTTCATTTATCAAGAGGAAGATCCATATTTTGTATCCCGGTGAAAGCACAGTCTGATTTTTCGAACACATAGTTTAGGAAAACTTAACAGTATTTGTCCCCACCTGGATTTTGTTGACTTGGTCTAATGTTTCTTCCTTGGCGCCCTGCGAAAGAGGGTAGGGATTTATTACATTCACCCTGACATGCTCGCGTGGTATAAGTTGCAAACACATACACTTGACAAAGGGATGATCCATGGCTGAATTTCCAGAGAGGCCGTAATTGGACTAGTATATTTCTTAGATTTCAGAGATTTACTAATCTAAACAAGATCTCTTACTCAGATCTTTGAGCTAAAAGAAAGGTTGAACTTCCTTTGCTCACTCATTGTCCTCCTTCATTGCAACTGGGTGGGAAAAGACAGCCTATTAATTACTTGATAAGGTGTTTCTCCCGCCTTCTTAGCATGCCTTCGTGGTTTAGTGGTCAGCATGCTCCTCGCGTATTCGAGAGTCTGTGGTTAGAGTCCCGGCGAAGGCATTGCAAATTACTTTAGCTTTCTGACATCAAAACTAACCTAATAAATCTACAGTGGTGCCCGAACTAAAATAGGTGGTGGATGATGATTCTCCGACACCAGGATTTGACGATTTTGTGCCCTAATTCCCAGTCGCCCTTTAAAATGAGGAGTATATAAAGTATTTCTCCCGCCTTCTCAGCATGCCTTTGTGGTGCGTATTCGAGAGGTCCGAGGTTCGAGTCCCGGCGAGTGCATTGCTCGCCGGGACTCGAACCTCGTCTTCAGCTTCAAAATCCTAATCACTCTACAACTTACAGCGGAACCAAGAAAGATCATGTGGAAACATATTAATATTCAAGAAAACGGAAGAAGCTAAACAGAATATTTGTCACTTCTTTTTAAAATAAAAGCTGAATTATTATACGCTTTAGTTTCCTTGTGAATACAGCCTGAAATGAAGAACTTCTTTTAGAGACATCCTATGTTATGAAGTGACCATGTTATTAACCATACTTAGTGGCTTAAAAAGAAATGTAACCAATCGTTTACTATAAAATATGCTGCTAATACTCGTATAAACTATTGGACTAACTGTAGTAACAATTGTGCCCGCTAGTGAATAACCAGAGAAATACTTGAGAAAAAGGCGAAGTAATGAACCTGATAGGTTGTATCAGACTCTTGCTATGTAATTTTCTTAAAATTAAATGTAATGTCCGTGTGTAACTTAAATCTGTTAATAAATTATTATTACACTATAAAGGACTCCTATGACCCCATTCAAAACGATCCCCCTCATAGAGATAATAAAAAATTGTAATTAGAAAGGAAAGGTAAATGAAATTTTAATTCACATGGATTACTTCGGAAAAGCTGAAAAGAGAAAAATTAATTTATATATTCAGTATGCTTTATAAGCTAAAAACTCTATCAATTAACAGTCGTTGAAAATTTCAATAAATAAAAAATTAATCCAATTTTATACTCTATATTTTAAATTTTTTACAAGGATACAAATACTCTATAATGCTGATGATTTCATTTCATATTCATTTCTCTTTGTGAAAAATTTTATCCAATTTTATCAAATTCGTCGGACCAATTCTTTTACATAAAGGATATGAAAAATGTAAAAGTAATGAATTCTTCAATCAAGAAGTTTTAATAATTCATTTCTTATCGTTAAAGGCGAAAATTCAGTTGTTCAGTCCGAATGAAAGCATTCTGAAAGTGCAATCATTAATAGTACCGAATCTTCGTACTAGATTTCGAAACATTATTATACGGCATTCCTCTAAATGCATAGAGCTTTCCTAGAAACCAACATCAAATTAAAATTGGATTTTGCTAGATTTTAAATATGTTCAAGGGATCAGTGTTGAAATAATTTAAGAATGCATTTTATAAATTACAGAATCAAACTCTAAATTTTATTTTATTTCATTAACTAAGATTATTATTGAAAACGAAAAAAGACCTACTTATTTATTTCTGGCACTATCTCTTGAAGAATGTTATACATTTGGAAAGGAAGCCAACACAGCGCAAAGAGTAGCACAACCAAGAACAGCATTTTGATCACCTGCAAGGATGGGAAAAATAACTTATTATTAAGAGAAAGGAAATGGTTTCAGAAAGAAACAAAATAACACATAATAAACACACATGCACACACATATATATGTATATGTGTGATAATTTAATGAGTAGGAGGAATCAGCTTGGAATCGTCATGCCAAGGGGTTGAATGCGTTCTGACGAAGGTAATGAAACTGGATTTCTATAAATTACAGATCTTTATTTTCGAGCAGACAGTATAATGCAGTATGATGCAGACAATATTCTAAGCTATGATTCTTTAATTTTAGGTTGTTATATGACATGGAAGGACCTCGAATTTGGGAGAACAGATGAATTTATTTAATTTTGTGGTTAATTTTGAGGTCGCCATTTATTCTTAAAACAGCTATCGTATTTTGTTATATCTTACATATTCCCCGCTTCAAAAGAAAGGTTGAGAGAGCAGAGTGGCAAAAAGGCATTAGTGAATTAGCGAAGCAAGAGAAAGTTTATCATATGAGGAAAGACATGAGGACGCATCAAGGACATAGCCTGCAGATTTTCCTATGCCTCGTCATGATTCATGACCGTTCTCATATACAGATTACGAAATACTTAACAGATAATTTACAAGTATTGCAACAAAAATATAATTTGTAAATAAGTTAAACAATAAATTAATGCAAATACAGGGTTATCCAAATTAAACTTCCCCAACTCAGAGGCCTGTGCAGAGTGTTGTATGGGTCATAAATGTGATGAAATTTTAAAAACACACACTTCAGATCATGCGCTCGAGATTTATTAAACAAAAAAAGAAATAGTACAAGAAGTTGCCGATTGGTGGCGCTGCAGATCAACAAGACATTCTACAGATGTTCTATATGTGTGCCGTGGTTCTCCATAACTCTTTCCATTCCCAAAGCAATTCCAAAGCACAGCGGAACGCAGTAAGTCCACATCAATTCCACGAACATGTCGAATAATCGCGTCTTTCAGGATATGCCAAGGTTGCTGGGTGTTCTCGGTAGACCCGATCCTTTAAGAATCCCCATAACCAAAATTCGCATGGCGTGAGATCAGGCGAGCGGGGAGGCCAAGCTGAAGGGAAACAGCGGCTGATCACACGTGCATCGGTAAAAGTTGCCCGTAACACCTGTTGAACGCCACGAAGAATATGGGGAGATGCACCATCCTGCATAAATATCGTGTCCTGGAGGCTGCCACGTTGTTGCAGTTCAGGGATCACAAACGTTGTCAACATGTCCTGATACCGTTTTCCTGTGACAGAGCAGGTTTTGAACACTGTTGGAGTCACCTCTTCAAAAAAATAAGGCCTAATGATGAATGTTGCTGTGAAACCGCACCATACAGTAACCTTTGGAGGGTTCAAGGGCACTTGATGGATTGCGCGCGAGTTTTCACTTGCCCAAATGCGGCAGTTGTGCGTATTCACTTGACCATTCAGGTAAAATGGGCCTTATCCGTCCAAAGGATGTTCCACGGCCAAGCAGCATCGACTTCCATTCTGGCAAGGAACTGCAACTCAAATGTTTCCCGAACTGCAGGATCCCCGTCGGACAGCTCCTGACGACTATGGATTTTGTAAGGAAAATAATCGAGGATTCGACGCATCACACGCCAGACGGTCGTATAGGGCTTATCAACAGCACGAGAAACAATTGGCACACTGACAACACCACGTGGCGATTGGCTAGTGGGGTCCACGACCGCCAAAGCAACGTCTTCTACGTGTGCAGATTCCACAACCTGTCGTCCTCTACCTGGTAAAATTCCCAGCTGTCCCGTTCTTTCGAACTTCTTCATCATGTCTCGTACAGCGCGTGGTGTCATTGGTCCTCGGCGTAAGATCTTCAGCCGACGGAATACTCTTATCGCAGCATACGAGTTCTCGTCATTCTGGTAGAAAAGTTTCCCTAATAGAGCTTTGTCTTTCAAAGTCGCCATTGTGCATCAGCGAGCTGGAAACAACTGCCTGTGCCAGGCCTGTCTTCCAGTTCTGTAGGGCTCGTCTTTTAGATACGTTGCACAGAAGTTTTATTTCTGCAAATCACGTTGCTGCAATATGCACATTAACTAGTGTTACAGCGGCACCTACCGGCAACTTCTTGTACTAATTTTTTTTGTGTAATAAATCTCGAGCGCATGATCTGAAGTGTCTGTTTTTAAAATTTCATCACATTATGACCCATACAACACTCTGCACAGGCCTCTGAGTTGGGGAAGTTTAATTTGGATAACCCTGTATAATAATTAAAGTCAAGTTCTGAAAATGTCTAATGTCTTTTGAATGTCCAATGAAAAAGTTTTTGTTAAGTCGCTTGATGAAAACAGTTACACAAGGTAAATGTTGGAATGTTTTCACAAATGTTCACTAAAAAGTCTTTCAAGTTTCTGTTGATGAAAATATTTCCATTATAATGCAGATTGATCTGCGAAATTTCATGTAGAAATATAATACTTAATTTATGATTGATCGAATAAATTCTTCTTATTGTGGTTACACATACTTAATACCACTGAAAATTCAATATAAAAACATAATAATATAATGCAATACACAATACTAATTGGCATGCCCTCTCCAACAAAACCAGCGTACCATCTTGCTGATGGTTGGGGGATGCATAATTATAATATATCAAAAAACTTCCGTTTCTTAGAAAAACGCAACTGGTTTTTAGCATTGTCAAAGCTTTTCTTTCAAAAATCTTTCATATTACTTAATGAAAATACAAAATTACACAAGATTAAGACTGAAATAAGACAAATAACTTATATAATCAGTCTAATAAAATTTGTAGGGGGGTGTTACGAGTGTTCCTAGTTCCTAGTAGAGTTGAAGTAAGGAATTATAAGGTAATTTTTCATTCTTTATATGGGACGGTGGGAATTTTCTTTTAGAATGCGGAGGGCTTTATATTCTTCAGTAACCTAGAGTAATAATTTTGTTCATACAATATTACCTTGATAGTAAGACTTTAGCTTACATTTTAGCTTAGTTGTTTGATTAACGCGTTCAAGTTTACCATTAGTTTGAGTTCTATTGCCTCAAACTAATGGTAAACATTTTAAAGAATCATAATGTAAAACTTAATAATTGTTTTACATTATGATTCCTTAAAATGTGCATAAATTTTGAAAACATAAAAGCAGCATTTCTATCACTTAAAGTTTTTTTTTGGTACTTGAAATTGAAAAACGTGTTTTAAACAATTTATATAAGTATCACTAGTTACACTTTTAGAAGAAAAAGTCCAAATATACCGAGTAGCATGATCAATTATTATGTGAATATATTTCTTAGTAGAATTATAACAGTTTAATCCATCAACAGTGTCAATAGACAATACTGTTGCGTGCGTACGGGTTCGTAATGAATTGAATGCACAAGTTCGATGAAAAGTAAATGAAATTTATTCTTATCACAACAAATAAAATAAAATGCTGAAATTTCCTCAGAGATATTAGTACTATATCGCAATATCTCACAGTAGTTATATTTTAAACTAATAAAACGTTGAATAGAACTCAATTCAAAACACTGAGAAAACTAATCCGAACTCACCACGAATTCGCTACAATCAATAACAGCACTAAATAAACAATTGAATTGAGATGTTTTTCTTCGGCTTTTACAAGCTTTTTAATCCTGAAAGAGACCATTCTGGATAGGAAAAGAGTTCAACTTCAAGATATCTATCTATTGAAATGTTAAATGAGCTTGCTCCTGAATTTTAAACTGTCCCGCAAAGCTTTCTCTTCATTTAAGTCTCGTGCTGCATTGCAATGAAATATAAAACAATTTTAATTACAAATTATACTAAAAATAGCTAGATAAATACAAAATCCGTAACAATATTTCAAAAGGTTCACTGACGGATGGTAAAGGTTGCATAAAACAAAATTTATTTTGTTTATTTTCCTTATTAACTGACATGCTTCGTAATGTTTACAACAGTTTCTAACATATCGGACAATTCCTGGCCAACAGTATTGAGGAGATAATAAATTTAGAATTGAGGATACACCAGTATTACCGAACTGTAGATGTGCTTTTTTAAGTAACTTAATGCGAAGAGATATGGCAATTACAATTTTATACAGTCCTTGGGTTTTAATAGTTAATACATCATTAATTTTCTTATATTTAGGGTTACAAACATTATCTTTGATATTCCTTAATTTCTTCTAATGATAATAAATTAATTTGCCAACTTAAATATTGACAAATAGGATTTCTAGTTAATACATCAGCTTGAACATTAGTAGAACCTGTTTTGTATTTTACATCAGAGTCATGTATAGATAATTTCAAAGACCATCTGAATAACCTACCTGTAGGATGTTTAATATTCTTAAGCCAAACTGAAGAAGCATGATCAGTATGTACATTAGAATGATTACCATGTAAATAATAATAAAATTTATCTATGGCATCAATAATTGCTAAACACTCTGATTCAGTATTTGCATAATTTTGTTCATAAGACCTTAATTTTCTAGAATGAAAAGCAATTGGATGTAGGTTACCATCTGGATGTTCTTAATTTAAAACTGCAACAACAGCTTCTTTAGATGTATCCACAAATACATGAGAAGAATATTTTGAATTAAACAAAGTTAAAATGGGTCTTGAAATTAATGATTCCTTTAATTTTTGAAAAGCTACTTGACATTCCTTAGTACAATTATAAGGACTATATTTTTTAAGTAAATTTGTTAAAGGAGCTTTAACCTTTGCATACTTTTGAATAAATTTATGGTATACGTTTATACTTCCTGAAAATCGTTTTAATTCTTTAACATTTTTAGGGGGATGTCATTTTTTTAAAAACTTTAATATTTGCACTATTAGGTTGATATTTTTCTGCTTGAACCTCATAGCCTAGAAAATGTATTTTTTCTTTAGCAAAATTACACTTAGATTGTTTTAATTTTATATTCTCTTTTCCACATATATCAAATATTATTTTAAGATGTTTAAGATGTTCATCA